TTCCTGGCAACTCCTATAGTCGCCTCATAGGACACCCACGAGATGAAATAAGGGATGAATTCTCTTACGCCTCCACCGCACAACGTACGTTTTATCACCTAAGAATAGAGATTTGTGTCGGAATTCATTATCATTTACAAAATTTAATTCATTGTATAAGATCTATTTCTTACGAGAAAACGACTAGTTACAGCTGATATATATACTTTATTATAAACAGGCACATACAGTCCATCCGGTGGTAAGAGGATCTAACGTAGTTACATTACACCTGGTGGTAAATGGCTACTGCAGTTCATGGACACCTGCAGCCAATTTCAAACAAAGAGATTACAAGTGCGTTGCCACTTTAGAGAATGAGGGCATCCACGACTTTTTCTACCACCAGGGCGGTGCCACTTTACAATGGGGTAAAATATTTGACGAATTTCATAGCGGGGACGACAATTTCTTAGGAAAATGTTAAACATTAATGACTCTTTCCGTATTATTTGTTATAACAAATAATAAATAACAGCAGTAAAATTATAGTAGTTATAAAGTGCAAAAAATTAAAAATAAAACGACTGACGCATTGTGTTGTGTATTAATGAAATACTCTAGATAATAATAAACTATTATTTAAAATTAATTTCTCAATTAACTGACATTGCGTAACAAAAAACTTTACCTCAGTCACTACTAGTGATTTTAATTAACTACAGTTAAGTGTTACCATCTTTTAAAATAATATAGCGATTAATCATGTTAAATATTAAGAAACGCAGTGGCATTTATTGTAAAATGACATTTTAAAGTATTAAAATTTTTCAATAATGTCTATACTTACTAATATAAAAAAAAAACAGTTTAACAAACAAGAGCGTTTAACGTAACAAAAAAGCCTAAATGAATTTATTGATATTCATCAAATTCTTTTGGTTCTGGAGTAACAAAATTTTATCCAGTGGTATATTTTGTATAATTTTTCGATCAAAGATTTGCTGTAGAGTGTTAATCGGCTATCAGTCATCGTGAACAAGCCAGAACATGGTACGTCGTTATTAGACGCATCAAATCGATAGTACACTCTAACTGCCCAAGTTGAAACGCTTTAACTTGACAAAATAACAAAAAACCTCCAACGACCCGTGACACAGAATGTGTTTTACAAAATTCTTACAAGCGGTCAAACTAAAAAACGATCTACAAGCGATGGAGTCGGGGAAAAAAGCAAAAAAGAAACTGGAGTTGGCCGGCTTCGGGCCCGTTGCACACAAAAAGGTTCGTTAGTTGACTTAGGTGGATTTACATAGAGCTACAATTACGCTTTTTATATGAAGACACTATTTTCAAAAGTATCTTAATTTCAAATATCGTTTTATCTACACATCTACATATCTACCAAATTGTTTATTTCGAAACATAAAGCCCGTCTTCTCATTGTCGAATCGCAAAGTAGTTATAAAAAATAGTGTTACGATTTCTCATCAATGAAATCACAATACAAAAATATAAAAGAATGACGCTAATAAACTGTCATAGAAATTGTGAAAATGAAACTTTTTTTTTTTAATTCTCATAAAATGTGGCGGTAATATCATCTCGTCAAACGCCGCGCCGGGCACGCGTCCGGAGGGGCGTACATCTAACCGCTCGGTTCTCATAAAAACAATTACATACGCACACCGCTCACCCACTCTACACTAATTGAATTATTATTAGTAAATTACCGACTAACTCAATAATTGGAGGGTTATGTTGGTAGCACCGCCTTGTTTTCAATTTGTTTAACGCGCCTATTATTTTGTTTTGCCTTAACGCGGTTTTAAGGCTAAATAAATATGCGCTACTTTAGACCGCTATGTGTTATGTGTATCAGAGATAATATATTCAATGTAGTCCGCCCACTCGCTGTGTATGGCCGAGAGTGCTAGTATTTCCTCGTCCTTAATCTTTATTAATAAATCGGATATATCTCTTGCTTATAGAATTGTCGTAAATAGATGGGTTATGTTTTAGATGCTAAAACTCTTCCCATTATTATACTGCACGTAAACTTATTTAAGAAACAAATTAATAACATATATTAAATATATTGTTTCCTAACTACGACTCCTATGAGTAAAAGTCAACTAATTAACCAATAAACAAAAGTGGCCTCAAATTTAAAGTGAAATAATGATCTCGATATTATGAAGATAAAAACATTACCCACATCCGCATGGCGCTGGTGACAATACTTATTTTAGCATAGAGTAATCGCGACGCGGCGATTCAGTGCTCTGTGTTTTCTAGCTTAGCATAGTCATACAGCGAGGCAGGCATTGTTCTTGGCTCTATATCGTGGGGAGAAGAACTGTATGATAATACAGTTGATTCTCGATAGTTTGAAACTCAAGGGACCAGATAAAAATTTCAAATTACCGTGGGTACAAAATAACAGGAGTTTAGATAACCAAGAGGGAGGGAGGAAAAAATCAAGTAAACAAGAGTTTGATCAAAATTCGTGATTTATTATTTTAATCATTTGTACAATTATTCACAAATGTTTATTTTGAAAAGAAGTCCATAATTTTCTGTTAAGTGAGCCACTTCAGTCTGTTACTATCCAATAAATTTTCGACAGTGGTGAGAGCTGCAAAGAATTGGTCACTTGTACTTGGTACTGAGGGTGTTGTAGGGTAAGTTAGTAAGAGATCCATTTGCCTCGCTCAATGTGACTGAAATTGGCGGTTGTTCGCCTTTGTTTTCTTCCTCGTCCTCATCCAGAGGGAGGGACTCACTCATATCATATATTAACAATCGACAGGTATGTACATGTATGTAAACAAACGACATGTCTATACATGATAAACGCTTCAAATTATCGAGAGTAGGGAAGCCCAGACTTTAAATTATTGCATGTTGGAGGGCAAGATACTATTGTTTTTGCTCCAAATTACTGAAGGGACCAATTAATAATGATTTTATTCAATTTATCGAGTATTTTTCAAGGTACCGAGAAATAAATTCAAATTGACAAGTGTCAAATTATCGACAGTTGGCTGTATTAGGTGTTCATTGTTATATGTTTCGTAAGTTTAATATTATTATATTTGATATTTATTTGATATAATATGCCATACATTTGTATACAATGAATATTAACAGAAAATAAAATTTGGGGTAAGTGGTAGAAATGAGTAATGTAGTATGAGTAAAGTAAACCTATATACGTCCTACTGCTGTACAAAAGCTTCCTCTCTTTTCTGATTTATTCCGCCGTGCTGCTCCCATGTCCTCAAAATATTTAATTTCTCAGACATGCAAGATATTCAAGATGTACTGCTAGACACATTTACTGCTTTTAAAATTTCTTTACATTTCACATTTATTTTTGTTTCACGACAAATGACTGTGAGGACTTGAGAGTTCCTCGACGTACACACATCGCGAGATAATATTGATGTCAGTTGTTAAATTCTACTCGTTGGACAAAGATGTTATTCAGGTCTTAATAAGCCAGAAGAGAATCAGTTTCTTAAATAATATAAGATTTATGCAAGTTATACTCATAATTAAAACTAATTCGTAACTGGCAAGTGGCAACTCACCGAAATGCGTCGTGGATCTTGATTGATTTTGAGCTATAATATAATCAGCCTGAATATTTGTGTCCTTACCATAAATTATAAAATTTATACATGATACTTAATTTATACCATACTTACGGAGAGATATGATCGCTTTGTAACTACCAAAATTTTGTCCCATCGATCTTCCAAAATCTTTAACGAGCGGAGATAAAAAATACATTGAAGTTACGATCCGAGCACGACACGATCCTAATCGTACGTTGTAAACGGGTTATTTTAATAACACGATATAATAATGTTACATGTCAAATATTCCACTGTAATCTCTTCTGTGATTGACATATGTACTTCTCTATCTGTTCGTCCGTCTGTCCAGTGTAATACAAGTGGCGTTAATCACTTAATTACTTTGATATGTGCGATATTTTACTTCTTATCTACTACAGTTACGCGTCACTTTAGAAGGCTATACTTTTTGCAAATATTCATTAAAAACTTTGACTTTGTCTATATATATTAACATTAATTTTAATATATCTAAATATACGTATGTATTAAATAAAAATATATACATTTACATATTATATTAGTTATAATGATAAATTATTTAGTTTCCATATCTCAATGCTCCATACTTGATAAACATTGATGGCAATAAATTGATGGCAACTCATCAATTTATTTATTACTGTGATCTAAGAACTACCTAAAGTCAACATTATCATTAAATTCAATAATGATATCCAAAATACCTAAATCATCAGTAAAATTTATCAATTAAATTATGCTTCGGCTATTAATCACTTAATTCTCTTAATTACATGTTAATTGAATACTATTTCTGCTTCTGGCAGTTTCATTTATTTATCCGTTGCTATTCCAACTCGTACAGAGGTCAGTTTATCTCTGATTTAAATCACTTTGTGTGTATTTTTGTACTTAAATGTAAAATCTAAAATGTTTATAAAAGTTAACGTTATCGTTACAGCCTGTAAAAATTCCACTGTTGAACATAGGCCTGCCTCATAGAGGAAAAATATGTCATGCTTGGCAGGCGGGTTGACAACGGTGGTTTTTTTTAATTTTTATTAATAACATGCTACTATCTCCTGGTTTGTTTCCCTCTGTCACCTCTTACGATATCCAAGAGACGATATAATATAGAGGATATCCTACACCGACACCACACGGTCATAGAAGTTATAATCAGTTATAAAGAGTTGATTGGCAGAGAATGCGGCTGGCATTAAGTCCACCCTTTGTTACCCTATTCATTAAGTTGTTAACAATAAAGATTTGAAAAAATTAAAGGTTAATTTTCAATATTAAACAAAACCCATACATAAAAATTCAAAGTAATTCATTAAATCTTATTTTTTAAATAAGCTCAGTCTCTCTTGCGACTTAATTACGTGTTTTAATGTTTATTCTCATTTGTTGCAGATGAATAACAGCGCTGTTCAGATTTGACAAGAAACCAGAATATCAAAATGGATAACACTACACGATCTGCTGATGAGCAAGTAAACAACAATACAGAAGAATGTAATAAAAACGAAAAGAGAATCCCTACCTTAGAAGATTTAAATGAAAATAGAAACCAAAGGGCAAAAGAAGGAATTAAAGAGATAAGACAGGAACCGGTATCCATTATAACTAATTATTGCAAAATGAAGAAATCGAACTACTTCCTTTATAAGAACTTTCATTATAAAGAAGAACTATCGCGAAGAATTGCTATAAAAAGAGAATACGGGTTTTACAATTATTGTTTTGTAAGTGTTTGTATTAGTTTTATACTAGGATTATCTATTGGTGTTGTTATAATGGGATCACCACAAACAAATGTAATGAATCCTGTATATGGTGCTAGAAAAGGGATAAAATTAAATAGCTCGCGAGATGTTCATTCAAGAAGTTTAAATTCCATGAAATACAATAATGTTCCTAGAACAAATAATAATGTAGAAATCAAAAGAGAAGACAAAGATTTAAACAGATTTACGTCTGTGTCATTTACCGGGGACAATGAAACGCAGAATTACAATAAAGATGTTTATCCAAAAGGTCTAACTGAGGACATGAAAGAGATATTAAAAGATAACAAAAATACTCATCACAAGCACTCCATCGCTAATGTTATTACTAACAAAACTGACTATATTCCTAATGATCAAACTGTCTTATACGATAACATTTATTGGGGGCCAGAAGTTGAAAACTCTATGCCTCAAGGTTACGGAGAAAATACTGCTGAAATTTGGGAAAGATATGTTGAGCAGAGCGAAGTAATTAAAATGGAAAGTGGATGTGGTAGAATGCAGAATCGATTAGTGACATTTAAAGATGGAATTCAAGCCTGTGTTCGATACAGACAAAACACTGACCAAATTCAGGGCGAAATTTTTAGCTTTTATGTGGGAAGATTATTAAATTTGACAAATTTAGCACCGTCGGTTGTTAAAGTAGTCGATTTGAAAGACAAACTTTGGCAAAGCGTTGCTGGAGATATTTCTTCTGCTCAATGGAATTCTAATAGAGCTGTTGTTCTTACTCAATACATACCTAGCCTAGAATCGGCTACAATTCCAGAAGTTTTTAAGCCGTCAAATAGACATCTCAACAAAATAGATGTTTTAAAAATGTCTTTAAAGGAAAACGATGTTAGGGATACAGCTAAGCAAATTATGATCAATAAGCTAAAAGCAAAAAATGTTAAACGTCAGCAAAAGGATACCGACGAGACGTTTGATCACATAAAAATTAAATTGACAAAGCAAACAATTCAGCTTTTTGTTGAATTAGCTCAATGGTCTGACCTCATAATATTCGACTACCTTACAGCTAATTTAGATAGAATCGTTAATAACTTGTTTAATTATCAATGGAACATTAACATCATGGACGGCCCAGCGCATAATTTGGCAAGAAAGATGGATAGTGGATTGCTACTATTTTTGGATAACGAATCAGGGCTCCTTCACGGATATAGACTGCTAAAAAAGTACAATGTGTATCACAGTTTAATGCTAGATAACTTGTGTGTGTTTAGGAAGAGAACCGTTAACGCTTTAAAATTTTTATATGAACAATCAGTAGGTGTAAAATTGAGTGAAATGTTTCATCAAAAAAACAATGCAGTGATAAGGGACATTTTACCGCCTTTGCCGGAAAAAAATGCGAAAATTCTCCATGAAAGAATAGGCAAAGTTTTAAGTCAAATAGAAAAGTGTGAACAAGCATTCGGTAATAGATAGCTCTGTTATATTGTAAGACTTGCACTGAAATTATTTACGACATTAAATATGATACTAATTTCTCTCCAAATGTATCTAGGTAGTAGATCCCTAATTTAAAAATTGTAGATTTTTCAAATATACGCGTCAGTCAATTTTAAAAGGCAGTGTAATGCAAATTCAAGATGCAATATGATTATTGATGTATTTTTTCAGTGCTAGTCGAAAATAGACTTATAAGCATTTCTCGATACCAAATACTCTTATTTATTGTAAAAAAAGCATAAATAACGTGCCAGTATATGTATTTGAAGTGATATTAAAATTTAACCTAATATAGTTAAATTGTGAATATAGGATATAATATTTTTAAATAAAGTTGTCAATTTGTTTGTAAATTGTGTACATATAGCTTTATATATACGAGTATATATTATTTAATAAATATGAACGTTTCTTTTCGCCGAGTAAAAACATATTATTAATTATTAAATGACTATTGTATAACGCGTAAAAATGTGGTAGGTATTCACTATTTCCATTCGAAAAAGTACTTTGTCAGTAAAGGAATATCTACGTCATTGGTCTAAGGCGCAACCTTTAATAATAAAATATGTAAATACATGTAAAAAATGTAATTATAATGAATAAATGATTTTTCAAAAGATGGACGGCCTTTGTTATTTATATTTTAAAGAAGCACTGTAACTGTCATAAATTATTAATGGTTAAGGGCAAGCCGGTATCAGATTACAAACAAAACATTTGTTTTGTTTCAAAATAAGGCGGCTTAACGATTAGTTACGGAGATGAAAATAATAGTTTAGAAAGTTACATAAAGTTTTAAGTATTAGGACTAAGATGAAGTTGTTACGAGAAGCTCTGTTTAAATAATGTCTCCCGGGCCGAATTACGGTCACGGCGGTCAGCCTCAACGGAGACTAGCCATCGGCGCAGGACAGGATTTTAGTGCCCGAGTGTATCCTCAAGCACAGATGCACTCTCTATACCCTCACACTGATAGTCCACGCTGACGGCAACTTGACACGACCGAAGAGAGATCAGGTGCAGGACCAACGGATTTACGTGTTTTCCGAGGCACGGAGGCGAAACATCGTCAACTTCCTGAATCCAGACTGCTACTGAGAATTTCTAGACAAAAAACCCAATAATTCATTTTGGCCAAACCCGGACTTCGAACTCAGAACCTCGTGACCTCTACAGCCAGGCAGTCGAAAGCTTACTAAAAATACTAACCCTCATTCACAAACATTAGTTTTATAAGTAAAGGAACAACGCTATAATAAGTAAGATATTTCTCAGTGCATTTGGTATGGCAAACAATTAATTTCATAAATTATTTTACTCAAAGAACGTGGTAGAGCCATGCTGCAGCTATATTAATACCATAGTTGTAGCACGAATAAGTCGGCTTGACCGGGGAAGGACCACGCTCTCACAGAGTACCAGCGTAAAATAGCAGCTTAATGCTGCTGTGTTTCGTATGATGAGTGTAGAGAACCGGAGACCCGTTTTACTGGAAAAGAGGCATTCCATCTTAGTCCTCACGGGTGACAACGCATCTGCATTTTGATTCGCAAACGAAGATAGAGGTAGATGTCTATCGGCCACAGCAACCATTTACCATCAGGTGGACTGTGTGCTCGTTTTTCACCCTGATTCTATTAAGAAAAAAGAACTCTTTGTTTCGCATACCCATAGCCAAAGAGCACTAATTTTACGCATAGCATTGCATGAGGCGCTGTGATATGTTAACGTTCTCATGCAACTTCACTCGAGTTGACTGACAGATAAGCAAATTTCAAAAATGGTCAAAACCAAGATTGGTATTATTTAAATTATCTTTTCACTCTTTGCCCGTGTTTGTAGTGATATCTTTTGAAAATCTATAGCGACTCACAAATTTATCGGCACTGTTAAATGAATTTAAAAATTCACGTATCACAATTTTTGTGTTGATATGTTTTGTTTATAGTTTTAATCTGTCGAGTATATAATTATCTTAGTCTTCTTTGCTACTATTATTATCTATTGCAATTTTACAAAAAATACAAATTAGATAAAATATAACAAGTATTCAATTTAAATATACCGTTAAGGGACTTGCTGTCTCTTTTTTTTTTGTATTTTATAGGATAGGGGTGACAAACGAGCACACAGTCCACCTGATGGTAAGTGGTTGCTGTGGCCCATAGACATCTGCATCTATTCTCTATTACGAATCAAAATGTAGATGCGTTGTCACCCGTGAGGACTAAGATGGAATGCCTCTTTTCCAGTAAATAGGGTCTCCGGTTCTCTACACTCACCATACGAAACACAGCAGCTTTAAGCTGCTATTTTACGCTGGTATAATCACTTCACGACTGTGACACCACGATTTGGCCATAAGGTAATAAACTAAACAAATAAAACATAACTTATAGGTATCCTGTATACTATTCTAGGGGCCCGATACTAACGTGGCACTTTTATTGATTTGTTGCACTGTGCGTAACGTAAAATGTTAGTTACATAGTTACTATTCGCCACTCAAGTGTTGTTTATGACCAAGTTTTCTGTACCTTGCGTTCAAGCGAATTAATGGACCACAAAGTAATGTTGGTGTTGAGTTTTATTGATCAACTAAACTGTTTAAATTAAGAAAAAAACTATATTTGATCTAAAAAAGATATTTAGAGCTACTTAAGTTAACACTAACAATTTTACTGTAGAAAAAAAGCGCCCTCTAAATTCTTAGATGGTTTATGAGCTGGAAGTGGTCCGCGTACTTAGTACCTGAGGGCAAACTACACATATTCTCCACATCAAGTAAGTTGTAGGACCCCTTAGGACTTGTAGACCTCTTACCTACTTCAACTGCCAAGCAGTAGTGCGTTCACAGCAGTTCCATCCTGAACTGCTGTGCACGCACTGTTGCCAAAAAAAAATCGAATTTGTTAATTTTTGAGATGTACTTCATGCGATAAAATTGGAAAAAATTTCACACGCATAAAGAGGATACTTAATATATTATATCTCTTTCAATAGAGAATCGAGTCATGATTGCACAATACATCTGTTGATGAATGTTTCACGTTGTCAAATTAAACAAATTTCTCTTGTAATTTTAAGTTGTAAAAGATGTAGCACGTAGCCTTAACTTAACCCAATAGAGTGCCTCGTTGCATATTCCGCGGCAAGATACCAGTCCACGACACGCCCCCAGCTGCTGCCCTGACTGGGCCCGTAGATGTCTTGTGTGCTCGGGGCCTTTAAATCAACAAGTAGAATATGATATGTTTAAAAATAATGTTCTTATGTTTTAAGCCCTGTAAGCAAAGTTACAGACTATATACGTCTCAATACTGGGCACAAGTGTTCTTTAATTTCTAAGGGGGTAAAGAAGGCTACGGATGCGTTGTTACCTCTACCTCCGAGGACTAAGATGGGATGCTTTGGAAAACGCTGGAAAGGCTGATTAGAGTCGAGTACCGATACCCTCGCTAAGGAAATGCTGCAGCCAGTAACTAGTCTAGGGAATTTGTGCTCAGCACTTTCTAATAGTTAAGATTGTTGTAACCTGTCGGAGAGGAAAGTTTCTTTCCTTATTGTTTTCTTGAAGGAAAGCCACACGGCCTTGATCTCCCCCTGCAGGCCACGGAACCAAGGAAAACATGCGAGTACCCTGAAACACAAGCTATCCTAGCCCTGGAGGCTTATCTAGGCTATTGCGAGTTACGTTTTGGCCGTGGATATAGCATAAGGGTGACCAGCGAGCACACAGTCCACCTGATAGTAAGTGGTTGCTGTGGTCCATAGACATCTACACCTATCCTCGTTTGCGAATAAAATGCAGATGGGTTGTCAGCCGCGAGGAATTAGATGAAATGCCTGTTTTCTTGTACTCGTAAAAAGGGTCTCCGATTCTCTACACTCACCAAACGAAACACAGTAGTATTAATCTGCTATTTTACGCTGGTATTTTGTGAGAGCGTGGTCCTTCCCCGGTCGAGCCGACCCATTCGTGCTACAACTATACTATTAATATAGCTGTAGCATGGCTCTGCCACGTATAAAACGCGGAGGTTAGGGGAAGCCATATATTATTTACAGAATAATTTTGCGACACCAATAAGGTGACTGTTATCTATGGTGGATTTTTCACAACAGTTAACCCGTTGTTATTTTAGTAAATTATAATAAAAACATCATAGTCTGTAATTATATTGTTTGTTCAAACTCACAATAGAAATAGGTAAGTGTGCGGTTTCTATTCAAACTAATTCCTAGGCAAAAAAGAAACCATAATATAGTGTTTCACTGATCACACAAATGTTTACTTGCTTTCTTTATTGTATTAAGGTAGAAAGATTACATAATTTAAAATTAAACATTTTGTACAAACGACTTCAATATAAATTATTAAGAATAACTCAAAAACTATTGGTTAGACCTTAAATTTATATGGGACCACATGTGAAGCACCATCTTTCAAATAAAAAAAACATTGAATTCGGTTCACCCAGTAAAAGGTTATGACGTAACACACATAAAAAAATACAGTCGAATTGAGTACCGTCTCCTTTTTGAAGTCGGTAGAAAATTAATGAACCTTTACCTGTTACCGCCTATCGAAGTGCAGTGTTGAACATAGGCCTCCCTCATAGATTGTCTCGTAGGTAGGATATATGCCGCAGTTTTTTTTTTGTTGTAATTATCCTATGTATGGTTTGCCTGGATTGTTTCCCTCTGATGGCTCTTACGACACCCACGGGATTATATGGGGTAGTGGATATTCTTACACTGCCACTACACGGTGATTATGGACCTTGCACATGAATATATGGAGGGATTAATTCATAAGTAAATACTGAAACAATCAGATGGGTTTGTCCAGCTTCCCCGAAATCATTTTATGGACAGTAGTTTTGAAACTTTGTGAGTGGTGAGTTAGCCATCAAATGATCCTTGCATCGCCAACGGTAGAAAAATAATAAAAAAGACAGAGACTTCCGTGAGACAGAAGAAGCATGAGAGAGTGAAATTAATGCTGTTTTGTGTATATTTCTTAATATATATTAAGGCGTATAGAAATCTGGGTTTGGTTCTGAGACAGACACAAGACTTTACAAATATCACCACACTGAAAGTGCTATGCGATGCTCTGATCACGAGCCACTTGAAGTACGGTGGAATATGGGCTCTGCACGAAGAAAAGTACAGCCTAATGCTGAAACGTGTTCAAAAATGAGGCACATGTATTTCAAACTGTATGGGGTATATCCGTTTTACCCATTGATGTACCCAACATTGTTCGTACTCCGGATGATCGGGTACAACCCGCTCTGAGTGAGACGGGAGTTTATCCTGGCTGGGTGCGTAATGAAGTTGCTCCGCGGCGCCACGTGCAACCCGGGGGTGCTGTGCGCACTGGACCGGTCCGTGTGGACCCGCCCGCCGCTGCTCGCGCTGCCCGTGGCCAGGACTAATTTGCTTAGTAACTCACCTCTAGTCCGTACAATTCTCGTAGTGAACAAAGTTCACGACAGGATTGATATATTTACGAGTAATGTGAGTGAACTCGCTGAGGTACTTTTATACATAGTTATTTGTAAGACATAGTATATTTAAGTAGATTAGAGACACTATCGTAGTGGG